CATCAACAAAAATAATGCATTCGAACATCTTCAGCTCACTTGGATAACTCTAAAGAACGCGTTAAAAACATCCAGTCATAAAATAATAAACATCCAGTCAAAAATATCCTCCCTTTTTTGAGCGGTTTACGTCTCTCTCTCTGTCTGTTTGTACAATCTACAATCCAGCTATAGATAGTGTTCGTCCTCGACTACTTATGCTTCAGATGTGGACTCTTTATCTACTTTCTGGACGAAGATATAAACAAAAGAAATTCCACTTTTATATCGTTATCGTGATAGTCTGTTTTTAGGGTTTTTACGAAAATTCCGTAACTTTTGAAGTAAGTAAGTTTCGGTGAAAACATTTTGAGAATCTTCCTGAGTGTGGCACTGCTATGTGTTGTGCAGGTAAGAATAAAAGCAATCAGACAGTTATTGAGCAACTTAGGTCGTCCCTAACGTGCAATGGGCCGTAATGGTCATAAAACGGGCAATAAAATGCCGTTTAACGGTTATCTAAATCTGATGCTTACTAACACATAATTAATTGCTTAGCTGTCATTAAAAGTCAGATGAAGGACCATAAATGGTGCCTGTTAACTGACCATTTTTCACAATTAAAAGCCTGTTGAAACTAGGTTATTAACCATTTCGTTAACGGCAGCCATAGACTAAACTGAAATCTATTTTATTAAAAAGGATCTGACGTTTCGACTCTTCATAGAGTCATTTTCAAACAATATTACAGAACATTACTGTACTTTACGCATGAAATGTTGTGAAAAGGAAGAAGAATTTTGTGTGTATATGTTGTGTGTTACTTACTTGTTAATAACACACAATATATACAGACAATATTCTTTTCACAACATTTCATGCGTAAAGTACAGTAATGTTCTGTAATATTGTTTGAAAATGACTCTATGAAGAGTCGAAACGTCAGATCTTTTTTAATAAAATAGATTTCAGTTTAGTCTATGGCTGCTGTTAATTTAAAAAGGAATATTCTAATCAAATTGTTGGCTCTTAATCGTTTTAATTTCGTTAACGGGCCGTTCAAGGCCTGTTGAATTCCAGTTGTTTCTGACCTAAGTACGAGAAATTTATTTTGTCAACAGAAAACAACAAAGCATTCTTTGTTGGACAGGAAAGCAGGAAAAGTGCAATCTTATAATCTAAAACCTTGCCACCTTGCATGAGTAGAAAAATGGAAACAAAAAACGACAAAAATAGAAAAATGAGAATTAAAACAACACACAATCATCATAACCGAAGAATAACTATACGTATCTCTTTTTTTCGCTAAAAAGTGACAGATATGATAGGGAAAGCCATGAGAAGTCGACATCCTTATGCATATCGTTATTAATTGCTTTCATAATGAAGAAGAAAGATGTTTTTAGTAAACATAGGCATCAAATTTCTTTTGTTAAACAACTGACACTTTTTCCGTGCCGCTATGGACAGTGACTTATCTGGCTTTTAGTCAATTTGTTCTAAAGAACAGCCTTGTGCGACTCGACTCCAACTCCGCCAAGGTCAACTCGAACTCCACCAAAAAAATCCTCAACTCCGGAGTTGGAGTTGCCCAGCCCTAATTGCATATCAGATTTTAACATTTGATTTTCTTCATTTTTATTTTTAATCCATCATCTGAATGACTGTCTTATTCAACGGATTTTATTCTATAATGCAATTAAATTAGAATATGAACAGTCTAGATGGAGGAGAAGCGAATACAGCTATTCAATTTTAATCCGAAACAACGATCTCATCTGCACCCATAACCACAGTTGATCCCCAAAGAACGTTATACACAGTGCAAGAATAGTGAGTTTTCGACAGCATGAGTGGACACGTTGCGTTAACAATGGGAAACATTGCGAGCCGAATTGCTAGTAAGACAGTTAGAAAAGCCAAAAATTCATTGAGAATTCTTTTTTTCTTTGGGCTGGTGTTGCATTTCTACAAGAAGAAAGACAGGAGCAAGAGAATCTGAAAAGTGCACTGATGAAACGCATTAAAGTGCTTTAATATGCAGTCGAACAAGTAGGATAGAAACGAAATTCAATCTTTATTTATACTGGTTTTCCAGAATAGAAGCTCTATCCAGCTCTATATTTTCAAAGTTCCACGTTGATGATGATGGAATAGAGAAAGCTCCTTAAGTCTGGCATGATATTTTTCACACATTATTAATTTGTTTGACAGTTCCATAGATATTAACGAACACATGTGTTCAGTTATTGGAACAGACATCGCAATATCAAACATATTGTCAACTTCAAAATATCTTCCGATCCTGATTAAAATGACCAGACGTTTCCTCGACGATTAATGATCCCTCTCGAATAATATAATTAAAAATTGAATCCTTCTGACCGGCGACATGAAAAATCCCATGCACCAATAGCTTAATAGCAATGAATAAAATACTTGTCTGTTTTGTAGCAGCCATTTAAGTCGATTCTGGACAATTAATGAATTTATAATTTATGAAACTAGATTATATTTAGTACAAACTGCTCGTATTATAATACTGATAATAATATTTTATAAAGATGGTTTGACGATGATAAAATCTCATGGATAAGACAAAATGGTAAATTTTCTATTTATTTCAAGTACGATGATTTCAATAATAAACTGTTACGATAATTTTCTTTTGTAAACAGTGTAAAACGTTTTGGCTATATACATGACAGCAGAAGAAAACACCGATGACATTTACTTGATATCAGAAAAATAAACAACTTTAAAAGACATCAAAAAAGTAAAACAAGTAGTTCTGGAAGAACATGGAGAAAAAAGCAAAACTGTTCAATTAAGTTTTACTCTTCCTGCTTTTATTGTTGCCTAATCGTCAGCAACGCTTTTTAAATCGATGTTCACCAGAATATCCTTTTCGATTGAGTAGAGGATTAGGCTGATGAGTTACTCAGCGGGGTTATTCAGCTGTTTTTTGTAAAAGATTCACCATTTAATTGTCTATGAAATGGTATATAGAAGGTGATCCTGAGATTTGAGATTCCGTCTCAATTCAGCAGAAATCGAAATGCCCCAAAACTTTCTAAAATTTAAGTTGGAAAACTGCATTTCGTCAGTATAAGCTTGAATGTATGCGTACATCGAATAGGCCAAAATGTAGTCCTTGAAATTCTCTGTCGAATGGCTATACACGTAGGAATACAATTAAAACTGTTGTATTACCATCATTTCGTTTGTGTGTTTTTGCATTTATAGTTAACTTTTCACTTGCTTCATAAATAGTATCATCAAGTCCTGCTTTATGAACAGCGTACGTAGCCGCACATCCTGCAATACCATCGCCCACGACTACAATACGACGCCCGGGATGTACAAGAGCGCTCTGATACACTAAAGAATGATCTGATAAGCGTAATCACTGTTAATGCTAGAATCCATAGAAAAGATAGAAAATAGTTGAACCAAGAACAGATAGTATTCATTATGATTCTATGTGACAATATCGATTGCTTTAAAAGCAGCTAAAATGCAAGTGATCGAGATCTGTAGTATACAATGTCACATTGAATTGATGTTAAACTTTCTTTCATTTCGAGCAGTGTTCTTTGTCTGCATTACATCTGACTTTTACACAAATAATAAAAAAGTAGCTAACGAGATGGTTAGTATTCGCTATTTGCTTTGAGAAATAAATATTCTAAAACATTTTTCAGATCAATCACAACTACAATATAATTATATTTCTGTCTGTTCGCGAAATTGAGCTTGACACATAATTTGAAAGTGTAAAGTGACATGTAGCAAGAAAAATGTGTGGCGGTAAGATTTCTATTAATCAAAAAATTGGTGCCTTGCGTGTACGAAGATAAATCATTCTCTTGCCTTTTTTTCTCATCATAACTCATTTTATATGTGCACTGATTACGTTCATTTCATTCTTTATTTGCTCTAGTTTATATTTTTCCTGTGTTTAGTCAGGTGACTTCATAGCCTTGCATTTTTAAAACAACATGTCATTCTCTCATGTCCGATCATTGTGCGAATAAAGAAATATACTGATGACATTTTCTAGTAGACTATCAAAAGTATTCAACTACAGTTTCACGGCAAACTTTAAAATAGTTATTCTTCAATTGAATCTGAATAAGAGACTATTGTCGATTAATACTTATAAGGACGTTCTTTTAGTCTCATACTCTATCGATTGGTGAAATCAGTTTTCCAGAATATTGTTTACTTCGCTTTGAAAATACAAAATACTGATTTTCTCAACGAGGCAAAAGCTCATAGAGTGAAGAATTTTGACCATCTCCCGGCATTCTATAGTGTTTTCTCACCGGAATATTTTGATAACTTTCACGCGTTTTGTAAATCGACTGCAGGTGCGTGAAAAAGCACTATAGAATGCCGGAAGATATCTTGTTTTGCTCAGAATTCTTCGCACTGTCAGGCCACATGGTTTGTAAAATTTTCTCACCAAAAAGTAAGGACTTGGTTTTTCAGCAGTCAGGTTTTCCAGAAGCTCTATTATCAACTTTTCTCATAAAAGGGCGATATGCACCTCACCTGATAGAAAATCTTCGGGTTATTCAAAACATTATTCGGATTGGTTCCAGCTTTTACTAAAAAGTCAAAAACAACCGAGTTCTTGAGATTATAGGTGAAAATCATTCTATCGGACAAGTATTTCAACTAATGACCCAAGTGGACATATGTTTGAAAGACTTATTTATAAGCTCATTTTGAATTTTATGAAATTCTCTATCGAATGCTATATCTATCGTAGTGGCTAGTTGATAAAACGTGTCATAGATTATCTTAGACTTTTTGCCCGTAGATAATACATCGATAATACGTATCATCTGATACGTATTATCGATCATATTTTCGAGTGTGTCTCTCTCGGCTTCATACCTTACCAGAACTATTATATGTCTTTCGAAAGCTCCTTTTCTGCGCTATATTTCTGTATATCACGCGTACAGAAATAGCCGTTCTGAGGCCAAGTACGTTTAGAGATACTTCCGGCTATGGAAAATAATCTTCTACTTCTTGTACATCCCGGGCGTCGTATTGTAGTCGTGGGCGATGGTATTGCAGGATGTGCGGCTACGTACGCTGTTCATAAAGCAGGACTTGATGATACTATTTATGAAGCAAGTGAAAAGTTAACTATAAATGCAAAAACACACAAACGAAATGATGGTAATACAACAGTTTTAATTGTGTTCCTACGTGGACGAAATCGCCTAACTTTTGCCGATTAAGCACGATTTTTCTGTTGGATTTCATAAAGACAAGCCAAAAAAATCGCCGATTCATTGTGCGATTAATCTTTATGCCCTGAAGATTTGCCCTCAAAAAATCCATGGAACGGACACATTTTGTTCTATTTTGGAATGTGTCAATGCGTCGCTATTTGTACCACAAAATGTCGCTATCCGTGACGCATGGGCACATTCCAACATAGAACAAAATGTGTCGATTCCATGTATAAAAGAATGTGTCGTCAAATGACACATTATTTTTTATAGCGCGATGATGTCAACAAGTGATGATGTATTTCAAAGAATGAAGGACAAATATTAAAGTCAAAACACATTAGCAACTGTCACATCTGTCTATCGATGAGAATAATGGTCATATTTATATTGATAATGATTCGAAATGCTATTATGATACGATTATATTTGCATGTAGTGCAGAGACTACACTAAAGCAATGAATACACAAACATCTGTACTATTACAGACGTTACTAACAGTTACATATCAATTTCGAGTCAGATAAATCTATGGTGTAACTTGGTTATAAACTACTTTACGTGATTTTATTTTCAAAAGTTCAGTATATAGCTCAAATTTAAGGAGCACACATTTCTATATCAGAAGGAGAGCTTATTGACGCGTAGCATTGATTAGAAGTTGAATGAAGCGCATGTAAGATTAACAACGTACACCACAATGTCAAAAAGGTTTATTTATCCAACCATGACAATGCTGCCCACAGTAGGCCTGAAACAGTTGTATGTCTACCTGCAGCTCATTTCGTTTATTCGTGTCTATAAAGATGTCATCAACAACGACTTTGTTAATTGTTCTTGTAATATTTACTTCCTGTTCTTCAACTTCTTCTATGTCAGTTAGCTGTATTTCAAACTTAACCACAACATTGGAGGTTGTTGCACATGTTTTTGTCAACGGTTATTTCAGTGCTGTTTGTCTTAATGAATCAAAACAGACTATGTCGCCACAATTATTTATAAGCGCCTTTTCGCCATTAGCGAAAGTAGTTATTACAGATATTATTAATGATTCAAACGTAGAAAACTTTCCACTACACTCTTTTATTACTGCTATTACTAATCGTATCGCTCGTGATTGTATTGGAAAAGAAGCTACATCAAAAACTCACGTTTGTCAAAATAAAACACGTACGAAAATCGCCTCTTGTGTAAATCGACGTCTTCCACAGATATTAAATGAGAAAAAGTTTAAATCAAAGTTTTTGGTGGGATTCTCACTCGTTTTCATTCAGAACTAACGAAATAAGCATTTTACACGAGAAAGTTGGTAGGCTATCTCGAGAATCACTGAACGAAACTTTATGAACCTTGGCGCTTAAGGGTTTCTCAACGTCCTCTTTCTTTTCTTCTCTAGACAGTTTTCTCTAAAACTCTCAGAAGTAGGGTTTTCTAGAAAATGTCAAACTAAACTCAAAAACTGAAATTTTGAGTTGAAGACTTGATTTTTTTCGCAAAATGTTCGCCTTTCGACGCTAAATTCAAATATATCATTAAAAATGTTTCATGTCTTAAGACTGATTTTTAAAAATCGTTTTAAGAAGTACAAGTAGCCCCAAAACCACGGTTTTCTAGAAAACCCTACTTCTGAGAGTTTTAGAGAAAACTGTCTAG